CTTATTTTCATCCCAATTTTCCTAATGACATTAAGAAATTTCTCTTCCCCTTTTGTGTAAAGTACTCTTACAAGAGTTTTAACTCCATTATCCTCCCACTCCTTAGTCATTGTGGATTCGAGGGGTGGAAGACACTCTCACAGATGGGTGTGCCATCTGTGGGCAGCACTGAGTGGACACTTGTCTCTGAATTTCTTTCAGTTCTGCTGATTTCTTTCAGCTCTGAGCAGGCATGCATGAACTTTTTGAAACTTGTCCTACCCATTTCAGCTAATAAACCATTAATTGCTTACCCTATGTAATGCTGGCCCTGTAAATGTTTATAGCAGCCACAGGAATAGCTTTTTAGTGTTTTTCTGGGAATCAGTAAACAACATTTTGCCACCTTTGTGTGGGACACCTTTCAAGCTCTAGACTCCTCAAGTGTAGCTCACATGTTTAATTAGTTTAAGAAATAACTCTTTGGTGATGCAATCCTGCCCGGGTTGATGAGTAAGACTGCACTAAGAAAGTGCCTTCTGCAAAATATTTGGGGTTGGAAAGAAATGCATGAAAATTTCCCATCTTTTCTGAGGAATTCCTTATAAAAACTGAGTGTGGAATGAAGTCTCTTCTTCTGCTCTTCTCAGTAAAAAAAGAAAAATCTTGTAGCACTTCTGAATGAGCCATCTGGGCCACAGTCCCTGGGTGCAATAAACCCTGCAGATCCACCCAGGGACTGTGGGCTGTTCCCGAGACTGCCTGGCACCCAGGCTGCCACGGCAGCCACACTCACTGCTGCTGCCTGATGCTCAGACTGCAGGCAAAAAGCCCTCTAAATGGCACTGACCTTTCTCCATGGTCACTTGGGAATTCGAGATGTATGGGTGGAGCAGCTAAACTGCAGTTCAGCAAAAGTTATTGCTTGGATCTTGCCAGGCAGCCAGAGCTGGATGGTTGCATCATATTCTAGGAGATGGGGCTTTAGGTTGGAGCATTTAGGGATTTATCTTTTGTCTAAACAAAAAAACACCATAAACACATTAGAAATTAAATGTTGAACAGCTGAGAGAAACATTTGTACAGATGCTATGTGGGGTATTTCAGATGAAACCTGAAGGTCATCACACAGAGGAGGAAGGAGGCTGGACTGGAGGTGACTGCACATCCTCATGAAGTGTGTTGGCAGTGCTGGTCACGAGAAGAAGAACAGCCTCTGGAATCAACAGCACCAAGTACCTTTGCTCCATCACTGCCCTCCTAATGATACAAGAGGGAAGGGAGTGTGGAGCACAACAGCCATATTTCAACCAAAGGGTATGTCCAAGTCCACAGTCTGGCTGGAAAACAAGAGCCCCCACACAAGGGAGCTGCCAGCAGCCCTCAGCATGGAGCAAGAGGAAGACTCTTGGCAGTATGCCTTGTGGACATTGCTGCCTTTACCTCGTGTTTCCAGGCTAACTGCTGATGAGAGACGTGATAGCCACTCACACGCTGCCCCCCTACACGCTCTTCAAGAGGTTGTTGCTGAGCTGCTTGTCTGTACCCAGTGGTACCATGGCATCAGCTCACTCCAGCTGCTAGGTACCACAGTGATTTCACAGTATGTTCTGAGTTGGAAGGGACCTGCAAGGATCATCAAGTCCAGATCTTAAGAGAATGGCCCATACAGAGATCAAACCCTCAACCTGAGTGTTGTTAGCACCATGCTCTAACCAGCTGAGCTGATCACAGGGTAATCACATGGAACCCGCCAGGATTTCTCAGTCTGCATGCCAGGACTTTCTTCTTCTTTCTTTCCAGAAGAAATATCTGGTCACAACGATGAATAATTTGTTAGAAGGCCATCCCTACCAGCTGTCTGAAATGCTTGACCCAAAACAGACCCCTGTCACGTTACATTTGCAGATCAGCTTCCCAGAGGCACAGCACACAGCAAGAGCACAAACCCCTCAGCTCATTTCAGCATGTCATGTGTGCCAGCTGGAAACACAGAGGAACTGCTTTAGTAAACTCTGTTGGACCAAGGTCCCCTCAACAAAATATTGCTGCCATAACTGCACTAGCAAGACATGCCCAAACCCAAAATTCCAAAACCAAAATTCAGGCTCTTTGTCAGCAAAGCCACTGTTGTAGAGTTGAACAAGCCAATAGATTGGCTCCAGTAACATTGATCAGGGTAATGTACAATTATGCTTCTAGTACATCTTGCTGGCATATACCACATCACTGCCAAAGACCACTTCCAAAATAACTGACCCACAAAAGCTGCAGATCCACAGGCTCCTCTGCTTTAGGAAACAGCTGGGTCTAATGAGAGCGTGTTGGTCCAGGAGGGGACCTGGTACTGAGTAACTGGGAGATTTTAATTCCTGCCCCTTCTGTGGCATTGGCTATCCCTCAGTGGGGCACAGATGGGAAATGCATTCCCCAGTCCCACTGATCCTGCTGGGAGGTTACAGAAAGCCACAGCTGCTTCTCACCAGAAGCCTTCTTGCTGGATGTCACATACAGAAAAAAAAAGAAGTGCTGTGATCTTTGCTTTTTTTAGAGTGTTTAGTTCAAAGTCAATCTATTAAAACTATTTTTGGCAATCTAAGCAAATATTCTTGAGAAGGAGGATGTAACAGCCCTTGATTAGCCCTCTTTTTCTAAGCCTTGAATGCAGAGAAGCATCTTGCTCCCTGATGCTGGAGCCCAGACCCTGTGTCCTACCTGTTAATCCAAGCTGCTGCAACACAGCAAATGTGACCTCTGAGCTGCTCACACCTTAGCTGCTCAAAGCCCATTCCTCCAGAGGGGACCAGATCCTCTCCTAAGTGCTTAGATGGTGCATGCTAATTTCTCTTACCTGCTTATGTGATTCTCTGAACACTGCTCTCAGGTAAATAACTGATTTCTTTGTATTTACTGATTCCTCTACCAGTTGCCCCAGGTAGGAACTAGAGATCTGCCAGGGTTTGATACAGGTCAATATTTTAAAAATATTTCCAGACTGAATGATTTGCTGTATCCTGTACAGTGTTGCAGAATGGATGAGGCATCTCAAAACCAGGAGCTCTGGACATAACTGAGGTTTGTTTCCAAATGCACAAAAGGGTTGCCAAAGGACAGAGAGGCTTTCTTTCCTGAAATTTTATTCCAACAGTATATAAAACCTCTCTTCTTCCTTGCAGTCAGATGTTTACGTAAGCAAAAGTATCTTGGGAAGTGCCCTTTGTAGATTTGGACCTTTTTCATCCTTCTTAAATGATCAGAATTTTTGTTCATTACTGAGGTTGTCTGCAGTCCAACACTAATAGCAGAAATGTGCCATTTACACCAATTAAGCATTCAACTTAATGAATATATAGCTGATTTGTAGCAGAATTTGGTCAGATTCTGCTTTCATTTAAACTCATGTAACAGAGTTTAATGGATATGAAAGCAGAATTAGCTTTCTTTCTTTTTTTTTTAATAAACCATTGCAGATATTCTAGCTGTAGACTCATCAGTCACACCATATTCCTGTCTCCTGCTTGGCTCCTCTTTTACTTTCCCTGTCCCAGAATTTCCTGGTCTCTGCTGTATTGTAAGAGAGACATGCAACACATACAAAATGTACAGTATTACAGAGGGAAATCCTAGCCCAGAGCAGGACTATATTTTAAAGACATGTTTTAAGATGGTCAAGTTGAGCACTCAAAAGTAAAAGGCTCTGTTAAAACTGTAACTTGGACACATTCCCTTATGCATTTGTGTGGAATTAATGTCTGTAATTTACAGGAAGCCATCATATGTCTCTGTCAGGACCATACAATATGGAAAATTTCAATCCAAATATTTAAGCTGCAAGCACACTTATAGGAAAAACAGTCTCCTTCTCCTTGGAGATACCTGCCATCTTCTTTTCCTGGGAGCATGCAATTCCTCCTGTTACTACAAGACAGCCCTTGAAGGAACGTCCGGATTGAGATTGTGCTCACCACCACCAGATGGCCCTCAGAAGAATGGTCGGTCAGGAACAGGACACTTGAATTGTTCATACAACAGCAAACCATTCCCAGCCCAGCTCTTTCCAGTAACTCTGTACAGATCCAGCTGCCTGTGTGTGCTACAGGGCACATAGCGAGGATATTCACACAAGCAAGCACTGACACTGCTAACAATGAATAACTCATTTGCATGGCCCTGCTGTGCTGGAGAAAGTTTTTGTGCAGCAAAACCTAGTTGAACTTCTCTATTGTAAGGAGCAGAAAGCAGGTTCTCGAAAATAGGGAGCATAACTCATTGTGAAGAGTTGTACGGATAAGCAGCTGAGCCATTGATACTGCACTGCACATCTGTCTGCTTGAAGAGGAAGACTGAAGAATAAAACCAGTTTAAGACATTCTCACCTCTATATGTGGATCCCGACTTTGCTCGGATTACAGCAGATTTTTGCACACAGTTGTACTGAATCCCAAAATGGGAGTAATTGTGGCATATCCAGAGAGCTGGATTAACAGCCAAAAAAAACCTGTGTGGAGAGAGGATAAAGGGCTGGATGGATCTTTAAACTGAGGGCAGATAGGTTTAGGTTATATATTAGGAAGAAATTCTTTACTGTGAGGGTGGTGAGGCCCTGGAACAGCCTGCCCAGGGAAGTTGTGGATGTCCCATCCCTGGAAGTGTCCAAGGTCAGGTTAGATAGGGCTTAGAACGATCTAGTTTAGTGTAAGGTGTCCCTGCCCATGGCAGGGAGGTTGGAACCAGATGATCTTTAAGGTCCCTTCTAACCCAGGCCGTTCTATGATTCTATGAAGATATGCACCTTGGCAAAAATATCCCTTTGCAGAACCCCATTGCAAAGAGGTTCCTAAACAGCACATCTGCACTGCTGTCCACCCTGCCACAGGGACATGGAACAGCCACACCAGGGCAGGAGCAGGATCCATCCAGCCCAACACCTGCCCCCACCTCTGTCTCCATCAGCAATTGCTCAGGAAAGGGCAGGAGCGCAGGGCAGGCTGGAGTGGTATTTTCCCAGAATAGTCTTTTACCCTCAAGCAATTTGCAGTTCATGGACTTCCTGAGCCAAAGACGGTATTTCTGTGGCAAGGAAATTATGTCAAGTATTTCAAAGCCCGTGAAAAACCAGGAGTTCATGGAGGGGGAGGCACATGCTGGGTAACCTGCCCGCGGGCCGGGCTGGTTCGAGTACCCATTATCTACCTCCCGGTTTCGGGGACAGGTGCTCGAATTTGCCGAGGAAGCAGCCGGCGAGCCGGGAGCAGGATCTGCCGGTCCCGAGTACCGGCGCGGAGCCGCCAGAGGGGGCTCGAAGCCCGCGGGCCAGAGCGGCACCCCGGGGTCCCCCGGCCGAGCATCCCCGGCCGAGCATCCCCGACCCTCCCCGGCCACAGCCCCCGCGGGCGGCTCCGGCAGCCCCAGAGGGTCTGGGAGAGCTCGGCAGCCAGGCTGGCCGAGGGACATCCAGCGCCTCGGCAGGAACGCTTTGGCAGCTGCCTCCCAGCCCGCTCAGCCTCCGCGGCGTGTCTTTGCGTGGAGACACATGTTCGGCGGAGGTGACTCTAACCAAAAGTCCCTCTTTGGAAAGCGAGTCAGGAAATGCGGTAGGGATTGAGAGAGAGGTGTTTTTTTTTTTTACAAGAGCATGTAGTGGTAGGACAAGTGGGAATGGCTTCAAACTGAAGGAGAGTAGGTTTAGATTAGATATTAGGAAAACATTCTTTGCCACGAGGGTGCTGAGGCACTGGAACAAGTTGTCCAGAAAACCTGTGGATACCCCATTCCTGGAAGTGTTCGAGGCCAGACTGGATGGAGCTCTGACTAACCTGGTGTAGTGAAAGGTGCCCCTACCCACCAAAGGGGGTTTGGAACTCAATGTTCTTTAAGGTCCCTTCCAGCCCAGGCCATTCCATGATTCTAAGACTGTACTAGAAGTGAGCTCCTACGGATTTGCTGATGAATTCTTGGCACCAAATGCACTCAAACGTAACCATGTGTGACCTCCTTTATGCATTGCTTTATGGATTACCATTTAAAGATTTGTCAGTGCTGTGTTAGATAGATGTTAATCAGACAGATGTTCTTAGAGACTCAATCTTCAGCTGCTGTGAACTGTAGCAGGAGGACAGGCAGCAGTCCAGAAGAGTTGTGAGGTACACTGGGGGCACTGAGCCACTTTTTGTGCTCACCATTGCTTTCCTGGGCACCTTGGCTCCTTTTTGAGAGTCCTTGTTTGCTACAAACCAAAAAAGCAGTCCCTGGTTTTGCAGGCAACAGAGGAGAGAGCAAGAAAGGAAATTTGCAAAGTTTTGCAAGTATAGCTATGGCAAATACTGAGTCTCCTCCTAGCTGTCCTGTACTTACCCAGCTAATCTGAGGGGTGTCATCTTAACCACAAAAACCAAGAACCTGAGAAAAAATTAATCCCTCCCATGAATTTCATCTGGATCTCACTCTCCCCTGTCTGATCTCTGGGCTAATATGACATGAAAGTGGGACAGAGACATCATGAGAACCTACAAGCTCTACCTCCCCTTGCCTAGCTTTAGAGAATCTGATCCCACATAAAGAAATAAAGTAACTATTTTAAAACGGACTAGAGAGTGTATATTTTCTGACAAGGGTTTCATTACAAAACAGCTGATCACATCCTCTCGGCTGAATCTTTGACTTACTGTGTCCTGCCAATAACTTTCTGGCTGGGTCAGATCTTGTTTCTGATTATTCCTATCCTATAGAAGTAAACATATGTGAAATGAACGTTAACAGTGCGTGGCTTATTTTCAGTCAGATGTAATACTTCGTGGACTACTCTTTGGGTTTTGGCATGAGTTTCAAAATAGGATTCTCAACCTAATCTAAATAAAATGGGAAAATATATCTATCATTGTGGTAGAAACTGTGGAGAAGGCAAACTTTCTCTAAGCAGCACTTTCCTTTCTGTAGTCCCTTGCCTTGCCCAGGGATCAGAGCTGCTAGTACTCCCTCTCCCCTGAGCCACTATTTCACTCATTTAGAAGAGATCCCAGATGCAGCTGGGAACCGTGAATGTCACAGATGGCAACACCGCAGCATCTCTGCTGGGAAGCAGAACTGCCTTATTCCAGCTTGACCAATGGCTGGTAAGAGGTCTTGCCTCAAGCCTGGTGGGTAAGCCCTTTCAATGTATGCTTAGCAAGCAAAATGAGAGGAGAGGTCTCCTTTTAATATCCACGACTGGAAACTGGCCTGAGCTACCACGTTGAGCAGTGCTTTGTGCCTGAGTCCTGCCAGAGGCACTTGTGATACCAGTGCAGCCCAGGGACTGTACCCATATCATCATGTGTGCATTGAGGCCCTTGGGCTAACCTTTGCTTCCTTATGCACCTCAGACTAAATAGTTTGAAAGTAATGTGAGGGGAATCTGGTTTGCACAGGTCGTTCTCTTGGCCCATTCATCAGTTCTGCTGAGTACCTGCCACAGGTGGACTTTGGAAGTAAATGCAAAGAGTAAATCTAATAGTCGTCAATGCATCTGATGGGATTACCTGTAATATATTTGCCAGCCTTAAGCCTTTTCGAAAGTCCATAAAATAGAACATTTCCTTGCATATTTTTTCCAATAACCATGCTAATTGGCTGCCCCAGTTGTGCAGATTGCGCTGGGACAAGAGGTGTTCTGATTATTCCCTTTGTTTATGGTATTAGCCTTAAACTATTGTTGATCTTATTGTTCTTATTTGTAACATGTTCGCCTCACTAGGACAGTAATTGTGTCAAGCAAGTTGGAGTCCAATCTGCAGAGCTGAACGTTCAGAACTGCAAAAGAAAGGCTCCAATCTTTCAAGCAGCGGGCATATTACTCCTCCATTTGGATTATTAAATTCTAATTATAGCCTGTTGATCCAGTTACAATGTTGTTTGTAAATCTAAATACAGTTCCCTAAAGCCTGCACTAATATGCATTTTTATTTCTTAACCTGTTGATGCTTAGTAAAGAAACACCGGTGTGCCTAATAGAGCAGGTGGAGCTTAGCTTGCTTGTGATCAAGCTCTTTTTCTCATCTGTATTCCTTTGGTTGTGTTTAGGAATGAACACTTAACAGCATGGATAACACTGAGAACAACCATGACCCAAGTGCCTTGGTACCTGTGGACTCATCAGAGCTGGGATCAGTAAGAAATTCTCCCTTAGCTAAGATTGGTGATGGCTCACAGGCCTTTTGGGACGAGGGGAAAGGCAGCTGGGTTTGGTTTGTCTGCGCTTTGGGCAGTTACCCGAGCTCTTCTGGGAATGGCACTTAACAACTCCCTCTTACACTGACAGTGCTTTTAGTCTCTTCTTTTCCTGTAATGTTTCCTGCATTTTGGCTTCTTTTACAGGAGAATTCTGGTTCATCAACCCACATGAAACGGTGCCTGGTGGGGTGTTTTGTGTGTGCAGTAGGGCTGGTTGAATCCACATACACTGACTTCATATAAAACAAGTATCAGTGAGCAGTCATCTGTGATGGCCATGCTGAAACTCCATGCCCTTCCAAGCCCTGTTCTTTCCTCTATCTTCATGAATGTTAAATGCAAGGAAAGCCAAGTGATGTGAGCAGCAGCAGTTCCCAGGAACTGCTGTATTTCCAGTGGCTGAAATCTCTGCAGCTCTGAGCTGTGAGTGTACTGCAGCATCCTCCCTCACCTGTAAGAGTAGAGGAGCTTTCAGTAAGAAACTATCACGATGGATGACTGCCTAGGTCCATAAACCATACAGCCTTATTTTTTCTTCCATGACTCCTTTTAAGCTCCAGCACACTTGTGTGCTCACAAACACCCAGCACAGTCAAGCATCTCATGCCCCTGGTGAGGTGGCCAGCTGTGGCTTAACTGCTGGGCATGGAAATCACCGGGCACACACTCAGGAGTGCCACTAAATCTCGGAAAGCTCCTCCCTGAGCCAGGCACAGCTCCAGGCAGTGAAGCACTGCAATGTCACAATAGTGGGAAGGGCTGGGAAGGGGTTGTGGATGTTTTGACAGGTGGTGTTGGGGAATTAGCCCAATTCCTCCTTCCATCCTTGTCACTCAGAATCCACTGGGGAAGGAAGAGAGGGAGCTGCCCTTCCTAGGGGATGAATTGAAGGTCTCCTAGAGATTTTCTGCTGTCTCTGCCCAAGAGAGCTTTGACAGGAATTTTGGATACGGATGTCCAAGCAATAAGCAGCCACAGCAGGTACCATCCTTTCCCACTGATCCATTCCCATGGGCCCAACAGGAAAAGTCACTGGGGTCCAGGAGCAGGGTGGTGAGAGCAGAAGGTAAAGCTGCTTCCTCTCCTTCAAATAGCATCCAGGCTTGCAGTCTTGGCCTGGGTAAACATGGAGCAAGGAGTATAAGGATTGAAAGGCATCAGGACATTCCAACAGCTAGATTGGGGATGGAATGGGAGAGAGTGGTGGAGTTATCTGGAGGGTTGAATGCTCATACACACACACATATCCATGCTGAGATGTTCAAGGCAGGCTAGTGTTCCCTCCTGGGAGGAAAATTGCTGTTTCCTTGCAAAGCCCAGTGGATCTGTTGAGGGGGCACTGCCATCAAGCCTTGGGAAAGGCCTGCCTGCATCTCTGTGTCCTCTTGTGTGGAGATGAGAGGGCTTCATCTCCTCCAAGCTGTCACTGAATCTTGCCAGTGCCCCCATGAAGGCGGGAAGGAAACTTTTCACTCCTCAAATGGCTGTGACTAATGGGAACAAAACTATTGAGCCCTAGGTCTCTGCCAGGGAAGCACCAGATCTGGCTGGAGAAGGGTGAGAGGGCTGCTTCTGCAGCAAGGAATGAGGCAGCAAATCCACTGCTCTAGTGGAGTAGAGTGGTATCCTCAGTGCTGGGAGGGAGGGCTGGCTGGGGCAAAAAGGCTCTACTTTGCCCCAGGGAACAACTGCTGGATCCCTGGGCTCCACGATTTAATCCCTCCTGGAAAAGTCTGCTTCCCTCACCACCAGTGCACATTCAATGAAGAGAAAAGCTCTTCCTGCATTTAGACTTTCCCAGCAACCAGAGACCTGCAAATGCCGACCTGAGAGGTGAGGGAAGGACCCTCGCTCTGCCCCAAAGAGAGGTACTTGTGTGGTTCAGGTAAAAACTCACCACTGTGCCCGGGCAAGCAGTTTTCTAAGGATCCCCGAGAGCCAGAGGGACAGGAGATAACCTCGGGGATGTCGTGCTGCTGTTTGTCCCGCTGCTGCGGCGGTGAAGGTGCTATGCCGGGGAGCGGCGAACTTGGGGGGCTCGGGAGGACGTCGGGGGAGACAGAGAGGGTCAGAGCAGGGAGTAGCAGCGAGAGTCTCCTCGCCGCGGCGCGGGGATGGCGGCGTGGGAAGGGGAGAGGAGGAAGGTGGCAGCTCCGCAGCTCTCGCCGGCATCCCCGCGGAGCCTGGGGAGCGCCCTGGACGGGCCGCTGCCCGGTCTAAGCGCACACCGAGGTGAGGATGCCTGAGCAGCCGGCCAGCCGCGAAGGGGGGCAGAGGCTCTTCAGACCTTCGGAGTGCCCCGCGCCCTGGCGCCTGCCCGCTGCCTCGGCGGTGCTGCGGCTCCGACACCCACCTACCCCCTCGGAAGGGCCGGGGCTCCCAGTTTGGGTGTCCCAGTTTGAGCGCAAGGGTGGATTTGCTGCCTCATAGCGTTGCTGCAGGTTTTACCGGGGAGTGTCCGAGGAGAGGCGCGGAGCCGCTGACGGCCCTGGAAGCCCCGGCTCCAGGGGATGCTCCAGCCCTGCGCCGAGGGCACCCGCGGCCCGGCCCCGACGTGTGCGCGGCCGAGCCCGCGGATCCGAGGAATGGATGCCTGCCCGAGCCCACAGAGAAAATAAAACAATATAAATGGGAGCCTAACACCCCGCCAGACCGTGCTCCCAGCGACCACCAGCATGGGCTCCATCGCCGGCGGCGCGGCCAAGAGGGAGAGATGGAGCCGGGGCAGGTCCTGCGTGGGGAGCTGGTGTGGATGTCATCTCGCAGGTTCTGTGGCTGTAACCACTGCTCACCCCGTGAGAGGAGTCACAAAGCTGCATTTGGGGAGGGGTTCCGATTAAGCCTCTTTCAGGAACGGAACTCTTTGCTCTAGGTTTCCAAACCACCCGTAAAATAACAAATAAGGTGGGCGAAGCTCCGGTCTGAAAGCCTGGAAACAAGAGGCCGTTTCCAGGCATCAGCCGGCACCGGGACCGGCAGGCCCGGACCCGGGGAAGCGTCCGGGCTGTGTGTGCGTGTGCTCCCACCCCGCCCGGAGGCCGGCACCATCGAACTCTCGAATTGGCAGAAACAAATTATCTGCAGCATCTGATGGCGCGATTCGATTTGTTCTACTTGAGCTTTCCCTCCTTTATAGGAAAGATCTTCGGTTATTCCATTCGGTTGTCCCCTGATGCGCTCCCTGTGATGCTGCGGTATCCAAAGGCGGTCGATGAGAGAGAAGAAAACTATTTTACGAATGAAGTGTGAGGAAAAAAATATATTATTCGTTTCAGCTTTTCAGAAACTAGCCCTGGTACCGACTGTGCATAAATAAATAAAAAATAAAAAATAAAAAAAAATTTAAAAACCAACCAACAAACAAAAAAAAACAAACAAAAACAAAACTAACCCAAAACCAAAACAAAACCACCAAAACCAACTAAAATAAAAACAAACAAAAGAACAAAAAAAAAAAAAAACGTAAATGTGGCAAAATTGTCTCTTAATCGACGGACAATTACAGGGAGAGATTTACAGCAAAGGATAAAGTGTCAAAACTTTGTTAAAAAAAAATAAAATCCGTGTATTTTTTCAGTTCTTCTAAGCTGTTTAATATCAAAGTGACCTCCAGTCACCTAAACTGATCTTAGTTGTGCTTCCACGTGCGAGGCACATTATCGAGTGAATAAAATGTGCCGTGCAGATTCAAAATCTCCCTAAAATTGTATTCGCTTAAGAGAAATTAATTCGTTTCGGATGTCAAAGAGCACGTTAAAGCATTATTTCTCGATTTTTGTATTTCTGTATTTGTTGGTTTTTCTTTCTTTCTCTTTTTCTTTTTTATCTCTCTTTCTCTCACTCGCTTTGTCTTTCTCTCTTCCTCTCTTCTTTTCCTTCTTTTCCTTCTTTTCCTGTCGTGAAAAACATGCTTTATACTCTTACTCTGTAACGAGATAAAGGAAAAATTACGAACTCAACCTGACATTTATCTTTTCTTTCCAAGTTTCCCCTCAGCTGAACAAAACACAAGCCCACGGTTTTCCCGGGATGCTGTGAGGTGCGTTGCCCACTGTCCTTGGCTGCTCCTGGTCGCGCTGCGGGGCAGCGAGCGAACCCGGGCTGGGCTGAGCCCGGCCGAGGAGAGGCAGGGAGTCCATCCCCGCGTGTGCAGGGGACTGGCAGCCCTAATCCCGCTCCATACTGGGAGGTGGCAAGCAGGAAAAAAAGGGGGGAAAAAGGGGTTTTGTTTCCCCATTGTGCCTATAGAAACCTCTGCGGCTCCCGCCCGCCCGTTCGGGAGCGGCTGGGCCGGGGAAGGCGTGCGCGGGAGCTGGGCCTGATACTCCCCACCAGCCCCGGGGACGGGAAATCCCGGGAGCCGCCGCTCCCCTTGCGAGGGGCGAGAGCGCGGAGCGTCCCCCGGCCCGCAGAGGGGCGGGAGGAGCACGCGTGGGTGGCCGCGGACGGGCGGGACGTGCGCGGGGATGCGCCGGGAAGGGCGGAACGGGGGCGCGCGGGGCGGGACGCGCGTGGGAACGGGAAGCGCGGGATGGGCGGGGCGCGCGGAGGGTGGGACGCGAGAAGGGCGGTGAGGGATGGAGGGGCTCTCCCCCAGGGAAGGACGGCCGGGGGGGCCCGGACGGAGCCACCGGGCCAGGCTGACCCGGGAACAGGCCTTCTCCCGGGCCGCGGAGGAGCGAGGGAAGGGTGGCCCTGGGATGGGCTCCGGTCCTCGCGGGAATCGCCGTCTCCGCCTGCCGCCCCTTGAGTGCGGGGCCGGGATCGGCTCCTCTCACCACCCGCAGCCCCCTCGTCCCGGCCCGGGGCTGGCCAAGGCCTCGCAGCGGGGGCTGGGCCGGGACCGCCCGTCCGACCGGACAGGTGCAACGCGGCCCTGCGAGGGCGGCTCGGGCGGTCCCGGGTCCACTGCGCTCCCTCCGCCGGGGATGCCGCCCGGGGAGTCTCCCCGGCGCTTCCCAACCCGGCCGCCCCGCGCAGCCGGGAGCGGAGCGGGAGCGGAGCCGCTCCCCGGGACGGACGGAGCTCCTGCCGCTCCCCTCTCCCACCCCGCGCTGGGCCCGGGGTCACTCCCTGCCCCGACAGCGGCGTCAGGCTGGGCGGTGGCATCGCCAACATCGCAGAACAGGTTTTTTGTTTGCCTACCCTCCTTTTTTTTCTCCACAGTAATTTTTTTCTTTTTTTTCTTTACTCATTTTTCCCTGTTTTCTATTTTCTTTTCCTGTTTTTCTTTTCCTTTCTTCTTTTCCTTTTCCTTTTTTCTTTTCCTTTTTCCCCTTCTCTGTTCTTTTTTTTTCTTTCTCTTTTTCTTTTTTTTTATTTCTTTTTTTTTTATTATTCCTTAGCGCTAATTTATCGCAGTTTAAAACAAAGCTAGAAACACCAAACATCAAAACACCACTTTCCCAATAAAACACTTTCTTAAAGCATCCCCCCCCACCTTCGGCTGGTGCCCGATGCAGCGGGATGCAGGGAGAGGAAGAGCCGTTCCTGCCGCGCAGAGCAGGGAGCACCGCAATGAGGGGGCAGGTAAACTGGCGGGGCTTATGTGGCAGGTACTTCAAAGTATTACCTTAAAAAGAGAAGTTATTTGAAAGCACTAACTCTTCCTGTCGTCCCAAGGGTGTTAGTAATTTTATTTTCCGCCCGTGACCTATGTAACACACAAATTGGACACCGTTTTGGGGGCTAGATGGCCCCTCGTTATGATTTGTGAGTTACGGTTCTCTGGGACTGGGGAATCAAACGGAACCCTCTCAGTTCTGTTTTCCCTGCCGTGGCGGAGGTGATGTTTTTGTGTAGTTAATTCTAAAATGCTTGGCAGCTTGCCCATCAAACCGTAAGCATAGAAAAATGCAAACAAATTCTCTATTTAATAGTGGCTGGACGGTGCAAGTAATCCGTGCTAAACTGGTAATGGATATCGATGTCAACAGGTACGCGGCGAGAGCCTAATGCTCCGCGCTCAATGCAAAACACTTTCCTTCTGAATGAGGATTATGTGCAAAATGTAACTTGGCAGAAAGATCCAAATTAAATTCATGCTTCAGTTAATTCAGATGAATTTTCCTGATTGCCCTTGTACACTAGACAACCAAATCCCTGTTTGTATTTGCTCCTTTTCTTTTAAAGAGCTGATGCAAATCTCTTCTCCTGGGGAGTCTTGCAAGATGCATACATTGAAGATTGTGATTCTCTCAGGCACTAAGTAGAGTAATGAAACACCTGAGATGGATTTTTATATCACTGTTCTTACTACAAACATTAGTTTAAGATATTGGATGCACTATATGATTGTGTTTGCAGTGTTTTTTAATAATATGCTGCAAACAACATTCCAGCTAATCACCTTAATGGAAATTAGAGAGGGAAAATGTCTATTAGGACATTTAATCTATCCTCACTTGGTAGCATTTTCTTACATTTTTCAGTCTAGCTTTAAATTTAAAAACAATTCATAGGAATTATTCCGCAGTTTCAAAATGTTGTTATACCTCCGGATAGCTCGGAAAATAGTGAAAATATACTAAAAAGAGTTTGCTAAGAAATGTTTTCTGATGGTCAACTGTATTTTCTTTCTTTATATTTCATTTTATCTTATAGCTGTAAGTCACACATCCCTCCGACAATTTAAATATGTGTTTTCTCTTCTTCATTTGTACACCTGTCACCATGACCCTACTGTGTTTTTAATGTGTGGGGGTTTGGGGGTTGGGTTTTCTTTTTCCTTTTTAATAGAAGGTTAATAAAAGAGTATGGGTTCGGCTCTGCCCCCATTCCAGGCAGCACCTTGACTACTTAAGTGTGTTCAAGTTCTTGCTCTTTTTCTCTTCCCCTGTTTGACACCTTGATGGCAAACAGCATAATCTTTCTTGCAGAGTTTTTTTTCCATATGAAATGATAGAAGTTGTAAATTTGTTTGCTTTTGGCCCAAATAGCATTCTCCGCTGTTTTCTGTATGAAACATTTACATAGATCTGGTACCCCACAGAGAATAAATGTATGGCATGGCAGCATGTGGGAGCTGTGTTAGAGTAGGACATTTTATGCCATGGTCTCAGTGTGATTCTACCCTCTTACTAAGGGTATGGTCCCCCTTGCCCTCTCCTTCACAGAATTACTCCTGACATAGGGATCTCCTACCCCCTTCTCCATCTTCACTGCAGCCCACTGTGCTTGTCCCTCCAGCACACACCCCATCTGACACAACAGAGATGTCAAAGGCTCTAACTTCAGGGGGACCTAGCCATTTTCTTGGTGTTGTGTTATTCCATCTGCTTTCTCATATAATTACTTGATGCTATAGCTGGCACTGCTGGGAGAAGCAGCCACAGCAGGATGATGTGCAGGAGTGGGGTGCAGAAACTGCTTAACCAGGCTCTGCAACTAAAATGGTGTCAGGGTGCTGCCCTGCATATTTCTGCCATCATGCAACACCTCTTGTGTCATAAGTCAATGTGATATGGCCTGGCCTATTGTTTTTGTTGGTGGTCAGAGGTTTAGACTCAAAACATGTCTCTTCCTGGCCTGCTTGCCCCCATAAGCAGCCCTTGGGTCAGATGACTGCAATTCCCTCTCCTACACTAGACCGAATACAGTCCGGTAATTGCCTGAGAAACAATAAATCATACATGAGACAAAGCATTCATTTACACCACTATATTTCTGTAACAAAAGAGAGAAACTAAAATGGACCATTGTTAAAGATCACTATTTCCTACTCTGTAATAAATGTCTCATCTTCCCTGATGCTTGTTTATTTTATAAATGTCTCTGCTTTGGCTTTCATATTTAGCTGCCAGCAGGACACCATTATCCCCTGACAGCATTCTGTTCCTTCTCCATTGTCATTACTACTGAAGTGATGTTATATTGCTGTGCTTGGCCTAGATGGTAGGGCTTTCTTATCTTGCATTTCCCATTGCTTTTCCCATCTAGACTCCTGATGAGGCATAGAGCAGAGGTGGCAATGTTTAAAAAGCAATGTTTTCATGAAGTATTAGTAATTCTGGTTTTTACTTAAAAAAAAGCCCAATGACAACAACAACAAAAAAAACTACCACCAACTGCTCTTTATGATTATGTTTTCAAGGCCCATTGAGAGGGAATGAGTTGAAGTGCATGGGTTGCACCTGCACTGCAGTTCTGAGACCCCACTGTTCCCCAGGCAGAAGGTGCTCAAGGGACTGTGGGAGGTGATGGAGAGGTGGGAGGCAGCACCACTCTCCCACTTGTGGAGACCACACTGACGTGGCAGGGCCCCACAGCCTGCACTGGATTGGGAATAAGTGAAAAAATACAAAGACTCCAGGACAGAAGGGCTGTTTCCATTTGTTTCTCTGCCTGAGGGCTGTGTATGTCACAGGCAGGGGTAAGATCCCAGCCCTGGTGCCTTTGCACCTTCCAAGGGGATGGGCACTGCTGACCTGTGTGGATCTGCATATTTGAGTAGACCTGAGTGCCTAGGTAGCAGTGCAGAGCTTGAGGCAAAGCTTCTTGAAGTCAGTGAGAGCCTTTCCACTCTTTTCAAGGACTTTATATTATGTTCTTTAACGTCCACAAATAAAAGATACTGTATTAGAGGCAACCTATTTTTTAGAGTCACATTGCCCTGCTGCCTGTCTGTTTTGTCCATCGCAGAGCATCTCCAACAAAACAGCAAAACCAGCAGCAGACGATCTGTGGAAGTCCTATTATGTACCACACTGCTTCTCCTTTCAAGTGCTGAAATCTAATAATCCACCTAACTCTCCTGCCCTTCAGACACGCACACTGCATTCCCTTTAGCATGGCTATGTCTCTCTTCTCCTCCTTCTTCTTTTCTTTTTTAAACAAAATTCCCAAGTGGAAGTATCAAGGTTTTCCTGCAGCTCTATTTCATTTAAAAAATAATTGGATCGTTATTTTCTATAAGAACCAAACTTCAACAGTAAGTAATTTCTAAACATGTCAAGTGGCTCAGCATAAAAGTTAATCTTGATCTATTGGTTTGTTAGGTGTGTTTACATCCAACCAGTTAGCTCTCCTTAAACAAAAGTGATTTAAAGCCCTTTCTGGAGAGCATGAAAATGATTCCCCCAACACTTAGATCCTCAGGGCCATAATCCAACAAAAGCAGGCTTATCTTTAAGCATATGAGTAGTCCTGTCAAAGTCAATGGGGGTCCAGATGTGTTTAAAGATAAACACATACTCAAGTGCTTTGCTGTATTGGAACTCGTTGAATGTTTTATTTGCATTTCATTCCAGTAGTAGATCTTATATTTTGTATATAGCAGAAGAGGATTCTTGCTGCATGTTACATAAAAGTATTATTTTAAAAGAGGGTGAATAGGGAAATTCCAACATCTAAGAAATAATTTGTAATGATTCGTATGAGTTATTTCAAATCTTATGTCTATATTGCTTGATTTGTTTTACTTGGTGCTTCAGGACAGAAGTGCTGTAAACATGGAATTGAGCCATAAAGCCCTGCAAGGCTCCACTCCACTGCTGCAAGTTCAATAGCAAGTGACTTTAGGGAAGTCACTTCACGTGCCCATGCTCCATCTCACCTCTGCAAAAACAAGGACCATTAACATTTCCTTTGCCTCATTGCAGTTGCCTAGTAAATGTTTGGACAAGGATTTGATAATACAAAATGCTGAAAGCTGCTTCTATTGAGAAAACCCCACCAAACTTGAAAAGATTATTCATTGCAAATTTACTTGGACAAAAAACGTTCCCCTGAGTTTCCTGCATGCCCTACGGCTCAAATTAATCAAACAGCAACTTTATGCAACCATTTCTCAGCATTTTTGAGAATGAGCTCTGTTATTCTGGACACTATTCCAGATGAAGGTGCAGCAGCAAAATCATCCCAGTGAATTAAACTAAGCAAGCTGAGCTTTATTACATAGTGCATTGTGAGGGGTGAGCATCTCTGTGGCCCTTTCTATGAAATGCATTTGGGTCGTATGGTCTTATTTGGACATTCGATCTGCTTAAAGGAACTCCTATGGCAGGGTCTGTGCAGTCTGCTGTGTCTGGCCCACCTTCCCTGCTGCGGGAAGGGTGTCACACCCTGCTGGAAGCCCCTACCAAAGCCAGAGTGTCAGCGCTCAGCCATTCCGAGCGGCCAGCTTGTGCCTGGGAGGCAGCAGGGTGGAAGGCAGTCAGGGAGGTGCAGCACATGCCGTGCTTCCAGATTCTCCTGAGACTTCCTCCTGGAGGAAGAGACAGCCTTTGGGCTCATCTATATTTCAGCTGCTTTAGTGACTGCAGTTTATGTAGAACCACGGATGGTTGTCAGATACAGCACGCTCAGCACTGCTATGGTTTCTCCCTGCAGCTCCTGAGGCCCCTGACCAGAGGACAGGCAGAGTGCTGTGTGTGCCACGCTGCTGGAAGGACCAGAGCTGCCTGGGAACAGCTGCTGCACAAGGTGCGGGTGTGGAATGGGCTGCAACACAAGCCCAGGTCTCTTTTATTCCCGTCAGATTGCAGGCAATTGGATGGATCCCATTTAAAAGGAAGGGGATGGGAGGAAGGTACTCAAAGGTTAGAAACATAATGAAATGAAAAGAAATCCTGATGTGGTGTTCATTTGCCTGAAAGGACCATTGCCTAGGCCTTCCCAGTGGAACAACTGACACTCCATCTGGTAAGGAAGCAGCAATTGGCACCGAGTAGCCTTCCAGGACACAGCACTTGGCTGTCCAGCACGTGCAGGTTTGCAGCATATCTCAACAGCAACCTGCCAGTAAGGCATCATCAACAAACTTGGGTGAGTGAGTGATGCTCTTTTCCCTAACTGAAGAGACTTCAGAGGAATGAATGTGACAGTATGGCCCCATGTGCCACACAGCATCTCCCCAACAAACCTTGTGTCTTGAGATGACATGACTGTGGACTGGTAAGATAGCAGAGACAAAACAGGTTCCATGTAAACGTCCACTAACCTGTGCTGCTTAATTCAAGGCTAAGCACTGGAGGACTGAGTGGTTACTCTAAAGTTCTACAACATGTTTTTATTTTTGCTCAGCTGACATTTAGCTCTTTTCAGCAGCTCATCTTTCCATTTCCCCTTTGCCATGTCTATTCTGTCAGGAAACTTGTTGACTGCTTTATTGCCTTGAATGTCCAGCTCTTCTGCTATTCTCTTCACATCTGTACAGTCATTTGTCCTTTTCCTTCTGAATCAGAACATCACTCCAAACAACTCTTGTGAAGTACAGTCTATTATTCCTTTTCCCCACAAAGCGGTTTTGATTCTTCACATGTAATGCACTATATAAAAATAAAAACCTTTTCCTGTCTTAATAGCAGAATTCTTAAACAGTTATGGCTTCATTCTCCTTCCAAGTACATAATTCCCATTGACAGCAGTAGGAACACTGCCAACACAATTGTGAATTAGTTCCCATGATAAAAAGTCAAAGACACCAAAAGGTCCAACTCTACACTTCCTTAGGAGGAAGTGAAGGAATAACAGACAAAAAGAAAAAACTGAAACTGAAAATTGCATGGAACAGCTTCATACTAACCAAGTAATAGGCTGCCAACTGAGCAGTCATTGAAGTTGTCCCTTTAATATGCCAGAAGTCAAAATCAAGAGCAATTTTAGTAACATCAGCACCTCATCTCCATGGAAAAAACAATCTGTCCCCAAAGCTGTGCATTCTCCTGAACTGGAACCTGGAAAAGTGGTGTGATGGTTCGGACCTGGCTCTCTGCCAAATGTCTGAACTCAGAATAACAACCCCATCCCCCTCCCTTCTGCCCTTGGGGCAAAGGAAAAAAACCCTATAAAAATTGAAGAACCTGAAACCAATCGAATTATATAAAAATATATATTTTTACACATATTGCAGTTATATACAATTAAAACACTATGTACACAGTAAAGGGACAAAACAAAAAGGGAAAGGGGAAAGAGGGACACAAACAGCAGATATGCTCACTCGAACTCAAGAACTAGCAAAATAAAGAACTGGCAAAACAAATCTCACCACGTCCCTCAGAAAAACAGGATTGCCACACACGGCCAGCACTCTCCAACCTCCCGCAGGGCAGAGCAGCCGTCACTGCAGGCCCCAGGCCCCAGATAAGAGAGGAAACGCAGGGACCCACTGCTCCTGCACCTCACCGGCAGAGCAGAGAGTGAGGGCTCTCATCTCCATCTTATTGACACCCTGGTTTACATAAAAATCCTATGGAATTCTGGGAACGTGGCCACTTGCTTGGTTACGAGCTGGTTACTAGCAAGGTCTAGACTAAAACCATCACAGGTTGCTGTGGCTGGGCCTTTCCCTGGCTTCTCTTACCTGGTACGTGGGCAAATGAGTCAGTATTTCAAGGACATACCCTTTGAAAATGTGTCCAACTTTTGTCCACGGTCAGACATCCCGTGGATGTTGTATGGGCCATATTGTAGGGCAGGGAGTAGGTAGCATTATTTCTACACCTGAGAACTCAGCAATGGGGGCTTGGCAGTTATTCACCTTCCTTGCTGGTTACCCTCTGTTTCCTGATTATTTTTTTCTTTTCTTGGTGAATGGTCTTGGAGTGAGAGCACTGCCCTGAGGATCTCATTCAGTCCCTCTAGCATCACTGGGAAAGCATATCTTTCTCTGTGCTTCTTTTTATTTCTTTCTATAAAATAAAAAATGATAATTCCTTCCATCTATAAAAATAAAGTAAACCATATTTTTTTCTCTTTTATAATTAGTCTTTTTCAGGTTGTAAATATCTTAAAGCCTACTCAGTCTTTTTGCACAGCATCTAATCCACCAAGAGCACAATCAGACATGGGGATTCTAGGTATTATTAATGTAACATCACTTGTCTTGTCTTATTGGATGGTAGAAACATTCTAGCAATAAAAATAAACAATCAGTACCCTAGGAATATCCTAATCTTCAGAATCGTACTATTATTTGAGATTTGCATCTCTCCGTTATTTGAATGAATAAGCAAAACTATAACAACACCTAAACTCCTTTATATGCACTAATAAGAAACTGAGGGATATGGTAAAAATTGCCATATTTCTGGCCAAACTACTTCTTCCTGACAGTGCAACTGCTGTGTGCCCAGCACAGCTTCTTTCACACAAAAGTGAGTCAGATTTCAGACAGCACAGATCCAGACTCCAGGGTATCTTAAAATCATAGAATCATTGAGGTTGGAAAAGCTCTTTAAGAGCTTCAAGTCCCACCATCAAGGCAGCACTATGGTCACCATTAAACCATGTCCTCAGGTGCCACATCCTCACATTTTTTGTGATGTGATGTGCTTATGCCACATTACTTGTCTCTTCCACTGATCACATTCTTTTTTTCTCACCAGAGGCACAAGTTACATTGTAATAAGGATTAATTTAACTGCTATCCCAAATGTACTACTCCAGTTTTCCCTACTCAATGCCATCAGTATTTCTGATATATTACAGAATATTCTACTCCTGATACTTCAAATAAGAACAAATTGAATGCCAAACTGAAGCACTTCTGCATGGCTCCTGCGTGTGGCCAGTGCCCAGCCCAGGGTGTAAGATTCCATCAGGCTGATCACTGTTTTCAACCTTGTGTAATGACAATGTCCAATGTCCCTAACAATGTCCAATTCACTTCAAAATCAGGCTAAGGTGTTTGCCTCAGTAACCTCCTGCAACAGCAGCTCCCACAGGTGATGAGACATGTGTCTGGGCATTTACTTTTCATTCTAAATTTGCTGCGTTTTAATTTAACCTGATGCTTATTCTCATGTGACAAAATAAAAAGAAAGTCCAATGTTCAGTGCTTGAGAGTTTCAACTTTCACAAGCAGCTCCATTTTCATCTTCTTCTGAGCAAAATAATTTCAGACTTTGCCATCTCTCATGTAATAATCTTAGTAGCTCTGTAACCATTTTTTATTTTACTTTCTTGAACATTTTTGTGAATCCACTATATACCTCATAGGAGAAGAGGATAAAAAGAATGAACACAGGTTTAATGTGTACTTACGGCATAATCCTATGTTATCTTGACTTTTTCTGGCATTCTACTCTATCTTTATTTAATTAAACAAAATATCCCTCTGTCCTTTTTTTTTCAGTTTTTAAGTTGCTGTTGTAGAATGAGGTAAATCAGACACTGATGACTTCTAGTTCTTTTTCCTGAGAGATTCCCGGAAATTCAGGACTTTCCATATTATTCAAGCCATTCAGCTAATCACTGATGATTTGCATTACTTTTCATTTAGCCACATTCAGAGTTGTCTGCCATCATGATGCTCACCTTCTCGGTATGTCCAAACGCATCAGGTATTCACCATAAAGTGAAGTCACCCCAAATCAACCCACAATCTCCAATGGGTTTTAACAAACCAAAAAACTGAGGTTTTGCCTACCTCTTCCATCACTTTCCATGACAAAGTGTTAGGAAGTGTATTGAATCATTATTTCAGGGATCCACCTGAAATGCTGCCGTATTTCAGGTTACAAAAACCTACCAGTATTCAAGCTACATATTCAATCCAAAAATTTCCTGTAAATGTGGCCACATTTCTCTTTATGCTATGAGTGAACTTTCAAGACCTATATTTTAATGATTTCTTGTTTAGGCTCTTATTTGTTGGATGTAACCAAAGCACCTGCATAGACAAACCTTTGCAGAACAGACTTGATTTTGCTGGTGGTTTGTACTTGTTGACATTTCCCATTTTCACATGGAGAATAAGGTAATCACATGATAAGGTGAAAAAACAGCAATTAAAAAAAAATCACAATTAACTATTTCAAGAAGGCTTTCACCAAGTCTACTGGATACCAGGCTACATAAGCATTGGGATGATGGCAGAGTTTATCCCACTCCAGAGCGAAGGGACGGTTTCTGATCACTCACACGATTCCAGTTTTTGGATGGTACCTAAGGAACAGACTAAGGTCAATAAGATTGTCCTCTACAGCCCTCCCTTGGCTCCTTGGAACCATGATTATCAGCATTTGAGACACGCTTTGTGTTCAATCTGATCTGACTTAAGTTTTCAAAATCAAAGAAATTAATTAACCCCAAATTTGATTTTTTTTTCTTTTGATGCAAAGGTCTTCAGTGCTAAAACTCAAAGTATTGAAAAGAGGACAGTTCATATTTACTACCCTGAACATGTCACCTTTGCAAAGTTCTCTTGTTTAAATCTTGAAGCTTGCTTGTATTGGCTATGTGGAAGAATCTGGTTGTGAGAGTTTTAGCACCAATAGTAAAGGCTAGGGGGATAAAAGCTTTTGAGTTGGCAAATACTCATGAGTGCTCTGAGCAAGCTGGTAAAGCTCACCCCCCTCTCAGGATTGGGTGAAATGAAGGCAGAGGGAGTTTGAGTGTTCAGGTACTGGTGATTACAGAGGGAGTCAGTGACATGGCTTAGACTGAAACCAAAGGCTCTCAATCTGCTGTCAGGGAACAAACTGCATTTCCTCTTAATTCACAGATTTTCCCCACAAAAAGAATCACATCTCAGCATTGTTCAGATGGCTTGCATATGCCATGGGCATGATACAGGCAATGAAGCTTTGGATTAATCTACTGTCCAGATTGATAACTGTAAGGGGCATCTCATAATGACCACAACATGATTAATCATGATACATGTGTGATACCCATGCTCATTATTACTGGCCTCCAGAACAGCACTGCTGAGTCCTGCCAATATGCTCGGGTTAGGATCTGGAAGAGACAATACTGCAATTACTGGCAAAGTATGCAGGAAAATTAAGAAGCAGCTAGTTCAGTATTCTGCACCAGGCTAGTAATCAGGAGCATAGCAAAGCAAGGGAATGTAAGAGCTACAAGGAATAACACTAACACATATTATCCTGATCTGATACTTTATTTTAAATACACCTCTGGATGTGCTCATTTATTTTGGACTATTGTCTTGCAAAATGGAAGGAATGTAAAGGGACAGGAATGAAGAACACAACACTTGCATAAGAGCTGATGAGGACTATTTGGAAACAGGGCTACATCCATACTGTATATCAACATATGGTATTGTTGCCCACTTGAAGACAGAGAGCAACTGTCTTTGTTGTACCTATTAGATTTCTTGTGAGCCTGTGACATTTAATGTCACATCAAATACACCATGGATGCCTTTTATATGATAATCCAGGGACCCACATGCAGTTAAACAACACAAATGCACCTGAGCATCAGTCCTCAGAAAGTCCTGGAAAAGTGGAATTAGAGCTGTTTCTAGCCATGTAGATTATCACAAACATGACAACCATATCTTCCACTCCACATGGAAAGCTGAACTGAATCAAAGACTTCAATCCTTTCCTTCAAAGATCATGTAAAGCTTCCAGATAAAGGCATGGTCCTGTCTTCAAGGACACTGCTCATGTGCGTGGGAAGGGTCCCATTTTCTAGGCTCACTTGCAGGAGTTGAAGGCAATTCACAGTAGAACAAATTACCATCTTCAACTAAGGGCTTAGCATATGCCTCCTGAATGTCCCCCAAATACACAATATTATGTATATGTTGAAATTTCCAGAGTTCATCTTCAGTTGTATGGCATTTTCCTTCCTTGAAGTGAGTAATTGCAGGAGCAGCACAATTGTTAATTATGCTGTGCACTTTGTTTCAAGCAGGTGCTGGATGTTCCTGTTGATTAACACATCACTGAGACTTGGAGAAAGAAGAACATTCTGGTGAACCTCCCATCTTGATGAAGATAATCTTCTTCTCCACTCACAGAGTGTTACTCATGCTGGACAGAAACATCTTATCCTAGAGAAATGTAGCATCTGTTATTTACTAAATTAAGTGAATTAAACACAGGATCCTTCAGATGAGTCTTTTAGCTTCAAGCTCAGTTGCAGTTTAGCACCATGCTCAGACTTGATAACCAGCTTGGCATGCAAGCCTTAAGCATAATTTAAGAAAGAACTATTTGATCAACAAAGAAGAGTATAGAAAGTTATAGCAATAATGTGTATCTTTCCTTATGTATCAAATAGAGATAAAAACAAAATAAATAGTGGTAGTCAATGAGAAATAGATTTTTTCAGTCTTCTGCATGCTAATTCAAACTAATAAAACAGTATTTCAAAAGTGGCAAGGCCTACATAGAAAAGTACAGCCAGGGAGTACCTCTGTAGTGTGCTACGTAATTTTAAGCATTATTTAAAGGGAAAGGAAGTAACCCCTAATCTGCTTATCCAGTGACACACGAGTGTAGATGTAAGCATGCTGAAGCTACAGAAATCCTGGAGTTATGACAGTGAGAAGGGGACATATTATGTCCTGAATGATCATAACATTCAAAAATGCTTTATTTTAGCCATTTTAAGGGGGGGGGGAATTAATGACAACAGGTGAAAGGAAGTTTACTGACTGCTAGACTAATGAAAATGTTGCTTTTATAAATGGTAAAAGTTTGAATTTCCCAGTGCTCTTCTGGGCATTGCTGTTTGTTGCAGATGAGCAGAGCACAATTAAAGTAACTGAGCTGTATGGGAATAGGCTTGTCTGCTCACTACAGGTTTGCTGCTGGATTAGGCTCAGTATTTGGATTTCCAGATCTTCAACAGTACCGTGTTCATAATGTGTGAAAGTAAATTTAACGGCTTCAGTAAGAGGAAAAACCTCTTTACACCACTGACTTCCATGAACAAAAAGAGGCTTGCAATGCATTTATTGAGATATTACACAAGTAGAACAAAATTCCGCTGGTCTTTACAGAGCTTTGGATCAGGTGCTTGTTGGAAAAAAAAAAAAGCCAGATTATCTCACAAATGCAATATTTAATCTCCAGATATTCTGCTTCAAACGCTGTAATTGAGTTCAATAGCTCCATGTTTATTTTATGGCCTATGCCTAGACATTAACATAATGAAAAACATGGGGGGAAATGTCATACATACTCCCACGCACCTATACAAATGTAATTATAATTGCTCTGTATTTCACAGTAGACCTTTTATGGGATTCACTATGCCTATTCTGTCTAAAATAAATTCTGTTATGTAAAAATGTTTGAAACAGAACTTTGTTTTATTTAGCATTAAACGAACATGTCCAGCCAGGACTCTTGATGCTACTTTGCCTATGCATACATACCCATGTATATGTTTACCTATATCACACAACAAAGCTTAACTGCTAAGCACAGCCTATACTTCAGCCACATGAAAAATATTCTCACTAATCCACATCCACTTGTTGCATCTCCCCTCAAAGGGTTGAGTCTCCCTTAAATGTACTGTTTCCTGAGCATCCCTTCACTCAACAGGCCTTTGCACAGCACTGCAAATTCCTGGAGGAAGTGAACTCAATCCATCTTCTCTCCATATCTGCATGAAGCCTTGTACAATGGGGCTGTGATTTATTTGGGGCCCCTGGGCATGACTGTCATACAAGTAGTAACTAATGACAACAGACCACGGAGACACACTTGTTACTGGCTGTAAGGAAAAATAAAACCTGGACCATAAGAAGCACATTCCATGTCCACATGTCTGTAGAAATATAGTTGAAATGATTGGGCTTGATGAAAATCTTAGGGGCACCTCATCAATCTCAATCTGACTTTCCAGACAATGGCAATATAAATAAATTATGCTGTGATTTGTGGAAAAATGATCAAGATTTCATTTTCGCTAAAGAAAACTCATTGAAATATATCTATGAACTTTGGTCTTTCCCTTTCCCTTTCCCTTCCCTTTCTTCCCCCTTTTCTTTTCTTGCCTCCCCTGAACTTCCTGTTTGTGCTGATGAAGCCCCAGCACTGGATCCTTCACTTGGTTACACAGCCTTGGACAAAGACTGGGTCCCATGGGGTGAGGGTGGTTTTATTCCTTCAGCAGAAGCAGGATGAGGCCCATGGGGCTGAGCAGCCCTGGCAAGGGTGCTACATTCTGCTTTCACACACTGCTATCATCTGCAGTAAAGCACAGGGGAGCCCCTGCCTGCTTCAGGTGGGTGAAATTCCCAGGCAGCAGCCCAGGCAGGCCAGAAGGACGAGGCAGGGAACAGCACGGCCGGTGGATACACCGCCATTTGTGTGAAAAATTCTCAGGGAAAATTCTTTCTCTCCCTCTCAGGCCCCTAAACTCTTTGTGAATGGGGCCAGTGCAACATGTGGCCTTTCACCTCACCCAAGAACCACTGCCAGACAGCCACACTCAGAGAATTGTTTGTTAATAGTCCAATTAGATAATTGCCATCTTTCACTCCTTTTGCTCTACATTTCCCATAAAGGAATGAATAAGGAGAGCAGCATGAAGAGGGCTTCTGCCCTGCAAGGTGACAAGAAGGACTGGAGCATGCTCTTTGCACAAGGCCATTTGCTTGAATTGAATCATTGTAGCCTAATCAATGGTCTTATTGGATTACTGGCTGTTGCGGTTCTCAAAGATATTGTAGCAGAGACAATGAAATAGCTAGAGTAAAACTTTTTTCTCCTTTAGTGGATCACGCAGTTGAGATTTTTCATGGGCTATCTCTCTCTCTCTCCTTCCTTCCCTCCCTCCCTCTCTCCCTCTTTCTCCCCCTCTTCCTTTCTCCCCCCTCTTGGATCCACTGCACACAAAGCTGGCTTTTTTTTTTTTTTTCAATGAGCAGGCTCTGCGAATAGGTTCAGTGTTTGCGAAGGTGCAGAATTAGCAGACACACATGCACGCACACACACACACACAGAGGGAGAAGCACAAAAAGCAAGTATCGGGACTGAAATAAGGAGAGGTAGGAGTTTAAGATGGCTGTCTGTGGGGAGATGTGATAACGAGGATTTCTGCTGGCCAAGATAACCTGCTTCCTTGGAGAGATCTGCTTGAAGGAAGAACTTTTTGTGTGTGTGCGTGCTGGGGATCTGTTTGTTTGTTTAGAATTCAGGGGGCTTTTTTTTTTTTTTGCTTTTTCTTCACCCCCCTGCAACTGCATTTTTTCCAGCCCTTCCTAGCAGCTTTATTCAGATTTATTTGGCGTGCTTTGGAGAAAGCCACTATATAATCGTGAGGTCAAAGGCATACTGAAGAAAGTTAATAATGGCTGCTAATGGTGCTAACAATTCAGGGTGAATCTTGTCAAAAGTTTTTTTTTTTCCCCTCTCCCCCACCCTTTTTTTCCTCTCTCCCTTTTTTTTTTTTTTTTTTTTTTTTTTTTTTTCTGGAAGTCTCAGTCTTTTGATTGTGTGTTTCCTGAAAGCAAGACCAATCATTTCAGTTTATTCACTGGCTAAACTCTACTTGATTGGGGACAAGCACACAAACCATCCATTACGATCTGATATATTATCCAAACAATTTAGTGTATTCATGAGGTAACCTAAATGTGGAGGCTGCAAAATTACCCGTAATCAATTGAAACAGCGAGTGCGCGTCCCTCTGTGTGTCTAACAACTACATGTCTCTGTAATAAGGCAGACATTAAATCATTTTAGAGTTGTACTGTTGAGTACCTGATCACTGGGCGCTCTGGGAAGCCGGACAGTCACATTAGGACGCTGGGACTGAGGAAGCCGCTGCTTTTCCAGTGGGATAAAAACCGATCTTCCTTACTCAAGGTGCTTTACAGATCCCCACCGATCTGACCCTAAGCCGTGCAATATCCAGCATAGACTTCGTCTTCTCCTTCTTCTACTCTTCTGTAATTTTTTGTTATTGTTGCTGGTGGTTTTTTTTTTTGCTTTGTTTTTATTGCACTACATGTTTGGGAAACAAGACAAAATGGACGTTAGATGCAGTTCAGAGACTGAAGCTAACCGGGTCTCGAAGAACGGACATAAAGAGGGCAAGGAAAGCAAAGGGTCTGAAGGAAATATTTCTACTTCTTTTTTGAAGGATCAGCAAGGGACTTTTTCTGCCTCTGCAGCTACGGAAGGTTGTAATAAAAGTAAATCTAGTTCGGCTGATCCGGACTATTGCAGGAGGATCCTAGTTAGAGGTATGAGTTTGAGGTGTTTGGCGAGGGTGGGGGAAGGTGAGCCGTGCTCACGCCCGGGAGATGGGTTTATTTTGTTACTTTGCCTTTGGTCTGGCCCTGGGTTGAAAGCCCTTTCCTACGGCTGCGGGGGAGAGACCCCAGTCCCCGGGCGGGCTATGCCGCCAGCCCCGCTCCCGCCGGCTTTATCGCGCTGAATTTCCGCCGCGTCTCGGGGAGAAGTTAAGCCGCGGTGATTCCTGCCCGGCGCTGCCCCGGAACGGGCCGGCCCCGCTTATTGTTGGTTGTTTGTGGTTTTTTTTTTTTTTTTTTTTTTCCTACTTTGCAGCCTTCCCGGGGTGCCGGCCCCGCGGGGAGCCCCCGGGGACAGCGTTCCCTCGGGGGGCCGCGGCTCTGCCCCGCGGGCCGGGCGCGCTCCTTCCGCGCCCGAGCATCCCGAGCATCCCGAGCATCCCGCACACCCGCACACCCCGCACACCCCACATCCCGCACATCCCGCACATCCCGCACGCCGCGGACAATTGCACGGGGCTGCGGGCAGCAAGGCCCTCTCGGAGGGCAGGGGCTTGCCGCTGTACCCCCTCTCTCTCCGCGTCCAGAGGATAGGGCTGTTTTTAAATAACCACCAGCCTTTAAAATAAATGGACGAAGGGCTGTTTAATTACTACTTTTTAATAGTTGTATGTTACATTTTTTCACAACCCTCGTCCCTCCTCCGGGCTTAAATAATTAAATTACCCTATTCGTACCTTCTTCTAAACAAAAAACTAAAAATAATTCATTTACCTGAAGAAATTTCGGTTTTATTAAGGTGCGTTTGGGGGGAGGAGGGAGAGAAAAGAATCGAAACAAAATCGGTGGGAAGCAGGCCTTGGAAGCAAGATTTAATCCTTGCACCACTGGTTGACCCAGAGAGGAGTCAGATTAAAATGATGTGATTGTCTCTGATTTAAACCATACCGAGGAGGTAAAATTACGGCGAGTAAAGTTGGGAAGGTTTTTAGGTAACCTGAATCTGGCTCTAGCTTGACAGTCATGTTAATAAGATTTGTCCCGCTTTCCTTCAGTTGAGGCTACCAGAAAACTGAGGTTTCTGCAGCTGGTTGGTGCCTTGGTTTCTTTTTTTTTTTTTTTTTTTTTTTCTTTTTTTTTTTTTTTTTTCCTTCTTGCTTCTTCTCTTTGCCAAAACCCAAAGCGGTGGCGGTAGCAGTGCAAGGTGGATTGGAGGTGTCCCCACATTCATGGTGGCAGGCAGCCAGCTCAGGGCAGCACTGCCTCTGCCCAGAAAACTCCTGCCTGTTTTTTTTCTTTTTTTTCCCCCGCATGGGAAACTTGTTTTATATATATATAAATATAAAACGATGGTTTTATATTTTGGGGGGCTTCGAGGTGTGTGTGGTGGCTGCCAGCAAGTCCTAACCCGGAACCCAAAGGGAACAAAGAGTTGCCCTGCACTCCAGGCACAAAGCATGGCCTAGAGGATCTCTCTCTCCACAGCTTCCCAGAAGGGCCGTGGGTGATGCCGCAGTGTCGTACTGTGAGAGCAGTGTATTTAAACTAATTTTTAAATGGGCTGAGGGGATTAATTATAGAGCCCTAGGCCCCCATCACCCCCTCCTTCCTTCTAAGTTGTGGGTAGTGGGGTTTTTTTCCTTCCTTGAATGTAATGGTCAGGTGCAGTGTCACAGTTCCATCCCGACTAGAGTCTCGGTCTTGAAGGTGATGGGGATTGCTCTTTCCGTTGGAAAAATTGAAAATAAAAAATAATTAAAGTAATAAAATTTAAAAAAAAAAAAAAAAAAGACGGGGAAAAAAAAAAAAGGAGAGGAGAGTTGCCTGGGTATGCAGCTGACTGCGCTTTCCTTTACCAGATGCCAAAGGTTCAATCCGAGAGATTATTCTGCCTAAGGGGCTTGATCTGGACCGTCCCAAGCGAACCCGCACCTCCTTCACGGCCGAGCAGCTCTACCGCCTGGAGATGGAGTTTCAGCGGTGCCAGTACGTCGTGGGGCGGGAGCGCACCGAGCTCGCCCGCCAGCTCAATCTCTCCGAGACTCAGGTAACCCTAGAGGGACGGGAAGCCCCCGCTGCCTTGTCCTGCCCTGCCCTGCGCAGCGGGACCCCCCTCCCGGCCCGGGGATCCCCCTCCCGGCCCGGGGATCCCCCTGGCCCTGCGTGCCCCAGGGACAGGCCGACCCCGCCGCCACAGTCCCCGGGGCTGTCGGGCAGGGCCGCGGGCCCATGGAGAGGCGAGGCTGCCCCAGAGGTGCCCACGCGTGTCTGGTGATGGGGGGAGGGCCACAGCTCTCCAGGGAGAAGGTTCGTGGCTGAGGAGAGGGACTTACAACTCTGTGAGGCTGGGGAAGGGGAGCTGCTGGCTAAGGGGGTCCCCCGCATCCCCGCACACAGCCCTCCGTGGGCTCTCCCCGTGGCGAGGCGGCCCGGCTCGCGGGATCTGGGCCACGAAGCCGAACTCCTCCCGGCCCGGGCGCGGCTCTCCCGCGCCTCCGGCCCCCGGGGACGCGCCGGCCCTGCCGGGACTCCCGGCCCTGCCGGGACTCGGTGTCCCCTCGGCTGCGCGGGGCCAGCCGCCCCCGGGCGCGGAGATGCGCTACTGCTGTCAGGGGGAAGGGAGGAGAGGCCGAGAGGGATACAGCTCCTCGAACCCGGAGGGGCAGGCGGGCTCCTTCTCTCGGGGCTGCAGGGTTAGAGACAGACGTTCGGTCTGAGCTTTCCTGGGTACGAGAGATCCAGGGACGGGGCTGAAGTTTGGGCCGTATTTTGAATTCCCTGTATGTCGGAGGGTGAGAACCGCCCCTCAAACCTCCAGGGCAGAAAGGCCGGGGGTGGCCACGCGGGTTAAAACTATGCGAGAGCACTGGGAAGCATCTAAAAAGTACAAACTTCTGAAAGCCGGTTTCATATTTCCTCAAAGCATCATATAACAATAAATTTCCCTGACACATAAATTAGCTTTTTTCTTTCTTTAATGGGTAGGAATGACAAGTTCAATGGCTCGTAGGTTACAAAACCTACCACGTGTGTTTTTTGTTGTGTTTTGTTTTGGTTTTTTTGAGTGACTTCCAGGATTTCTTTTTAAAGTTGAACAGTATTTAAAATAGGTTGGGAGGTGAAGAGAGAGTGTCCAGGTTGAGATAAGGGGGAAGAAGCGCGTTGCTGCTGTTACCCACATGAAAAGGAGAGCCAGAGCCGAGCGGACAGCAGCTCAGGGGCAGCGTGCGGGGACCCTGCGAGCGGGGTGAGGGGCCGCGGAGTGCCCGAGGCACCGGTTGAGCCGGCTTAGAATAAGGCGCTGGGGAAAGGTCTGAGTACAGCTCTCAGAGAACTACTGGCCGACAGCTAAAATAGTATAAGTGAGAGAGGTCCGGTTAAAGATGCAGAACTAAGGGCCTTCGCCAGCCCCGGGGGCACTCCGAAACCTGGAACAGACAAGGCATGAGGGTGCTGTGTTCTGTGGGTGTCGCTTTGTGCGTTTTGGAAGCGCTCCCCGTTCCCAAGTGTCTGTCGGCTCTCCCGCCCTCCCTCCCCGCATCCTCCCCCGCGCCCTGCGGAGCCGGGCCGGGGTCCCAGGGCACCTGGCGGGGGCGCCGTCCCTGCCGCCCCGCTGACCCTGCCTCTCTCCCCGGCCTGCAGGTCAAGGTCTGGTTCCAGAACCGGCGCACCAAGCAGAAGAAGGACCAGGGCAAGGACTCCGAGCTGCGGTCGGTGGTGTCCGAGACCGCCGCCACCTGCAGCGTCCTGCGGCTGCTGGAGCAAGGCCGGCTGCTGTCCCCGCCGGGGCTGCCCGGCCTCCTGCCGCCCTGTGCCGGCGGCGCGCTGGGCTCGGCGCTGCGCGGGCCCGGCCTGGCCGCGGCGGGCAGCGGCTCCGCGGCGGCGGCTCCGGGCGGAGGGGGCTCCCCGCACCCCCCGGCCGCCAGCGGAGCGCCCGGGCCGCCCCCGCCGGCTGCGCTGCACGGGGCGGCCGCGGCCGGGCACGGGCTGTTCGGGCTGCCGGTGCCCGCGCTGCTGGGCTCGGTGGCCGGCCGCCTCTCCTCCGCGCCCCTGGCCGTGGCCGGCTCTCTGGCGGGCAACTTGCAGGAACTGTCGGCCCGCTACCTGAGCTCGTCCGCCTTCGAGCCCTACTCCCGGACCAACAATAAAGAGAGCGCTGAGAAAAAAGCACTGGACTGACTCTAAGTACCTCCTCCCCCCCCCTATTTATATTTATAGTCTCTATTTGTGGCGGTATTTATGGGACGGGCGGCCCGCAGCCGCCCCCCCGCGCTCCCCGCCGCCCCAAGCCCCGCGGCGCGGCTCCTGCGCGGGCCGGGGCGGAGCGGGGCCCGGAGCCCGCGGGCCGGGCCGGGGCGGCGGCCAGGAATGGGAATGGGAATGGGAACGGGGCGAGGGGCTTTGGGCGCCTCCCCGGGGCCCGGTGGGAGCGGGGCGGCCCCCGCGCCCCCCCCTGCCCCGCGGTCCGTCTGTCCGTCTGTCCGTGAGGGAGAGCGGTGCCGGCCCGTCTGTCCGTCTGTCCGTGAGGGAGAGCGGTGCCGGCCCGGCCCGTTCGTTCGTCTGGGGAAGGGCCGGAGAGGGAGAGTGGCCGGGCTCCCTTCGGTCGGCTTTAGCGAGGGAGCAGGATTTCGGAGAGAGGAGGATGGAGCTGCCAGGTGATGCCCGTTTTCGGTTTTTTGTTTTGGGGTTTTTTGGGGGGTTTTTCCTTTTTTTTAAAATTTTTTTAAATTGTTTTTGTGTCTCCCAGACTCAGTGATTTCTAAGCACAAAGGTTTTGGGGCGCCACCTGTGGCCCTCGTTTACCCCCACGCTCGCTGCACTACAGTCCCCGGCTACCGACCGAGCCCTTAACACCAGTCAGGAAAACCTCCAGCAACTTTTGTTTTTCACGGTAAATCTTGAAGGTGGGAAGGGCCGGAACAGACTGAAAAATACAGTCACGGAGCGGGGAGACAGAAATCAGTGGCTGCGCTAATTTTGAATAAAATTGTCTCCTCCTTCGAGATAACACAACTGCCCCTTCTCCCTCTCCCCCCAACCTTTTTTCCTTTTTTTTTTTTTTTTTTTTTTCTCCTTTGAATTCCCACGGGCCAGTCCCGCGGACCTTATCTGCAAAAACAAATCTGCAGAAAAAGCATGGAACTCGTGACTCTATTTGTATCTACACCTGTTGAGATGGTAATTCTTATTTCTATTGGTCTATTTGGTTTTTCCCAATAATTTCAATGTGCATCTAAACACAGAAAACCCTGTAGCCTTCCTTCCTCCTAAAATAACCCTCTCGTATATCGCTCACACTTCATTTGAAACGAACAGAAAATATAAAAAGCGTAACTTTTATTGTTATTTTTGTACTTTAAAACACATCTATGTAACAACCTTTTTTTTTCCCTTCCTAATTCTTACTGCTGTTTTCTCCACGAACATATGTATTTCACCATCTAGTATTCCAGATCGAATATTTCCTGTTCAGTTTCGGTACTTGAATTTGCCAGAAAAGGGATGCTGTACTTAGCTAGTTCTTTGGGGAAAAAAATATTTACTTCGGTTTTAAGTTTCTTTTCTTTCTTTGAACTTTAACCCATGGCGTTTACAAACTGTATAAATACGTGCCACCAAACTGTAACCAAAAAAAGAAAAAAAAATTATGAAAAGTGGAATGGTTGCTGTAGAATATAGAATTAACTATAGACCAGAACTGGACAGAAGGAGCTGGATGGAAAGAAAATAGTAATTTTATTGTAAATTATTTACGTCTGAAGTTTCTAGGCAATTAGTCGAAAAAATAATGAATGAATCGAGTGCTGAGCCCTTGCTACTAACTTTTGTTCTGAATGTTTTGGATATTTGGATGTTTTGTATTTATGTGGTGAGAGTGAAATATATTATATCTATATGATGACGGAATTAGGTGTATTTTCGTCTTATATTCATAGCACCCAAATTGCCTTCATTTAATATGTGTGCTGGAAAAAAAACAAATCAAACCAACAAAAAACCTGCAAACAAACAACGAAAAAAACCCCTGTCCCTGCACAAAAACAAATCTGCAGAAAAAGCATGGAACTCGTGACTCTATTTGTATCTACACCTGTTGAGATGGTAATTCTTATTTCTATTGGTCTATTTGGTTTTTCCCAATAATTTCAATGTGCATCTAAACACAGAAAACCCTGTAGCCTTCCTTCCTCCTAAAATAACCCTCTCGTATATCGCTCACACTTCATTTGAAACGAACAGAAAATATAAAAAGCGTAACTTTTATTGTTATTTTTGTACTTTAAAACACATCTATGTAACAACCTTTTTTTTTCCCTTCCTAATTCTTACTGCTGTTTTCTCCACGAACATATGTATTTCACCATCTAGTATTCCAGATCGAATATTTCCTGTTCAGTTTCGGTACTTGAATTTGCCAGAAAAGGGATGCTGTACTTAGCTAGTTCTTTGGGGAAAAAAATATTTACTTCGGTTTTAAGTTTCTTTTCTTTCTTTGAACTTTAACCCATGGCGTTTACAAACTGTATAAATACGTGCCACCAAACTGTAACCAAAAAAAGAAAAAAAAATTATGAAAAGTGGAATGGTTGCTGTAGAATATAGAATTAACTATAGACCAGAACTGGACAGAAGGAGCTGGATGGAAAGAAAATAGTAATTTTATTGTAAATTATTTACGTCTGAAGTTTCTAGGCAATTAGTCGAAAAAATAATGAATGAATCGAGCGCTGAGCCCTTGCTACTAACTTTTGTTCTGAATGTTTTGGATATTTGGATGTTTTGTATTTATGTGGTGAGAGTGAAATATATTATATCTATATGATGACGGAATTAGGTGTATTTTCGTCTTATATTCATAGCACCCAAATTGCCTTCATTTAATATGTGTGCTGGAAAAAAAAACAAATCAAACCAACAAAAAACCTGCAAACAAACAACGAAAAAAACCCCTGTCCCTGCATAACCCTCCCGATTTCTTCTTCTTCTTCTTCTTTTTTTTTTTTTTTTTTTTTCAGTTTTATTTGTTCATTTTAAGCGGGGAATGTGAGGTCCACTTGGCAGAGGGTGATCTGTTCCTCCTGGAGCAGTCTGGGGCATTCCAGTCCCCTCCCCGGTTCCATCCCAGCCCTCCTGGCGCTCCCGGTCCCGCGGACCCGATCCCACGGCCGTGTCGGAGCGGTGCCATTCCCCTGCAGGAGGCAATCCTGGTGCCCGCTGTGCCAGGGGCCACCACTGGCTCTGCCACCCCGTGCAGGGACCTGCTCACCTCCACATCTCTTCTGCCTGCGGCGGGGGCCGGGCCTGGCAGGCACTTACGGGTGCTCGTACGTGTGTCAACCTATATCTTGTACAAGCAGATAAAAATATACATACCCTTAGGTATGAAAAAAATATGCATGGCTATGTGCATAAATGTGGATATTTTCCATCCTGTTTGGCAGCCCAGCCCTGAGCACCCTTTGCTGGGCAGCCAGTGCAGGGCGGAGCCCACGGTTCTCAGGAGTGCCCTCGGTGCCCTGGCTCCCCAGGACAAGCCACCTCCAGCACCGTGGCACCTGCTCTTCCCACGCCTTCACCCCGGCCACGGGGCCCTGGTGTGGCCTCCTCTGGGCTTTGCCACAAGCCCATCCCAGCCAGGGCAGATGTACTGCTCCAGATTAAGAGGGAAGGATGTGGTGGCAGTGCTGGTTTGCTTGTTGTTTTTTTTATAAAGTGTGTAAAAATCATCTGATGAAGGGTAACCCAAGTGAAGGATGGGATCACAGGTGACATTTGAAGAAGTGACATTGAAAATGCTGGTCAAGACAGGAAAACTTCAAGGGAAGGGGAGGGAAAAGTGTTGTTAAAAGGAAAAGAGCTGAATGTGACAAACCAGGTCTGCCAGGGAGACCCTGAGGGACAGGGTAGTTTTCAGTTTCTGTCTTGCCTGCACGGACTGCGCAGCATCACCCACAGCCCTGGACAAAGACAGCAGCCCTGGCCTGGGCTGCCTTTACCAAGGAGGCAGCTGCCACCACTCAAACTTCCCCTGGTCTCCCTTGCCCAGCGTGGGGCTGTCCTGTGTGCTGAGGTTGCCCTGTCCTACAGGGACCTCCCTGCTGTCGATACGAGGCCATTTCAGTGCCCGAATGTGCCGCTACACCGTGAGCCATGGGACACAGCACAAATGTATCCTGCCAGAGCTGTCTCAGGTGCCCTCACGTTAAAAGATATTTCCATGCTACTCTATTATTTTAACCAGAGATGGTAGGGGCTTTCCTGTCCCCTCGCACAGGCACTGTGAGGCCCTTTTTCCCTGGTCTCTGGCCTGACCTGCAGTCTCAGGGTTGGAGCTGTGGTCAGTGTAAGCTCTTTGGTCCTCATCTAAGGCAATTTAAGCCAGCATCAGGCTAAATTGTTGACGCTGTAGCAGAAGTCCTTATTTTACAGCTTTTCAGCCCTCAGTATACATGTGAAGAACTAGACATTTTTATTTGCATTACTATTATTATTAACAGTTTCTGAATATTTCCAAAAAAAAGGATGTGTCCTGAGGTGTGAAGGGGTTTTATCTAAGCATTCAAGTAAAATAAATAATTTGAGAATTTTTTTTTTTCCTGTCTTCTTCAAATTCTACCTATCCCACATCTGTATTGGAAGCTGCTTCTGGGCTGGGGTCAGAGCAAAACCAGGGCTTCTCCAGTCCCATGCAGGGCTATCACAGTCCTGCTTCAGTCTCTGCTTGTGACTCAGGTCAGAACCTTGGACTCCAACAGAGAGGGAGGCAATTTGTTGTTTCCTTTGAATTTTTCCACATCTCAAAAACATAGGATTCCTGAGAGCATAAACACCCTCCCTTCTACAGGAGAACAAACTAAAACATGTTCATCTGCATTTCTGTCAAAGGGGAGGGAATACCACCCGTCTCACTGCATAGGACAAGTTAAAAATCATTCATATGTACGTCTATATATACAGTGAGCCTGAATATAAAAACTGGCATGGGATTTTTCTTTCTTTCTTTTTTTTTATTTTTCCAACTACACCAAAGCTGTTCTAAGCTATGTGCTGCCCAGAGACACTGCTTGCTTGTTTTCACTGAAATGCTGAATTTCATTTTACTGAAGCAATGAAAACAAACCACCTTTCTGAAGCTATTTGCTGCTGAAGGCTTTGCTACATTTCGTGCTGGATTGTTT